CTCTCAGATGGAATGATATTTTTTACTGTTATGCATTGAAATTAATGTAATCAATTATAATGGTGCAATTTTTGATAACACATCGAATAAAAAATTTGTAAAATATGAACAACTTATTTTTCCCCAATAATCTGGAGTTTTGCTATTTGGTGATTGAGTATGACATTGAAGAAATGTTTTTCAATCACCGTTTAAATGTTATTCAAAAGAAACGATTTTAAAGGATGAATTTATTGTAATATGATTCTAGAAGATTATATTTAATAATTGTACTGAAGATAACCGCATCCGAATGGTCAAAACGTCTATTGTTATTGTTTAATGTGATAAAAAGTAATAAACTGAGCATATTTAACTAGCTCTGGCTCTGCAGCTTGTTTGTAATAATTTATATTTATTCTTATTTACAGAATTTAAATAAATTTTTGTAAAATTAAATATTAATTAGTTTTTATGTTTTACAATTTTAAGGAGAGGCCATAAAAAAACACATGTCGCTGATCGACATGATTCCAGCGTCCCTACTTGTCTGAAACAAAAAAATAAACAAGATTCTTAATTATTATGAATGTAGCTATGGTTCGAACCAGAATAAAAAAAAAATATTGCAAATTATTAAATTGGCGCAGTTTTAAAAAACAGATATCAATTTTTCACTAGAAAGTTGAACTTTGACAGTTATAAAAATATACTTAATTTGAAGATATCGTAATAATCCTGGTTCCGATCATAAACAAACATGTATTTTATATATACAAAAAAGTTGAAGCCGATTGGTTTAATACTTTTTAAAAAATCGAAATTAACCGATTCAAAAAACATACAATAGTTTCGAGAAAAACGTGTTTAAAGTTTGAAGTACAGAGTATAATATAAAAAAATGAAAGCTTACCTTTAATTGGCGATATCAAGGCCATACAGCAAACTCTCCTTTATCTCAAAATGTTTATTTTGTTCCGATAATTGCAATCTACGAGCACTACGAGCCTCCTTTGATGCTTTAGTTGCCACTCGATGCGTTCCTTGTCCTTGTTCATTATATCAGCAAATATTCTCGCCTCGAGTCCAATTTTCACTCCCATCAATGTTAACATCTCCAAAAGTGGATGGAAGTCTTCATTAAAAATACAAGTTGTTAAATATGTTGCAATTTCAATGTTGGTTTTTGCAGCACAAAAAATATGTTTCGGTGCAAATGTCCATACTAAAGAATTGAAGCTTTCGACATGTCCGACGCATTCTTTTTTTGTAATAATAATATCATCACCATATTGTTTTATTTTCAAAAGTGTGTTGAATGTCTTACTGTTGCCATCTCCAATATATGTTTTATATTTTACTCCACATTTTTCTTCCGATCTTTCAAATATTTCATCTACTGCATCTTGTTCCATTTTCCCTGCGCTTCCTAAGTGATTTATACAGCAGTTCTTTTTATAAATAGCCATAAAATTTATGTATTCAATACTGTTTTTCCTTTTCATCCACAGTTCGCATATCTTGCAAAAAGTCGATTTTATAATAACATTATTCACGTCACTGATATCTTGAATCCTGAACGTGCACTTGCTTCTCCAAATTTCACATCTTTTTGGCACGTTTTGCATATTATCAGTTGATTTATTGCAGCAAAAACTTGTACAAAATCGAGAATGCGAGATATCCGTGCGATTATTCAAATAAAATTTCATTTTCATGCTGCGTGCTCTTTATTTGTTTAGCAGACGTACTTGTAAATATTATATCTTGTTCAATCGTGCTTTGATTTCCAGGAAATTTTCTTTTTTTAGATCTATCTGTTTGTTTGCTAGACGATCGTGAACCTTTTCTATCCACTTTGAAACGTATGCTTTGTTCAACGATCGAGATAGTACTAAACGCTTCCAGAGGTTGTCCTTTCTAAATATGTCATCGCTTCCAACGGTCGTTTTAAGCCAACACATACACAATACACACAATACACACAATACATACACAATACACTAGAGATCACTATACAAAGAAAACTAAACCAGAAAATTATTCCGAGAAAAGGTATCTATTCGATGCAGCTTGTATCTAACAATAAGCGCATCGATTTTTTACCTGAACGGCAACCTACAAATGCTTGTTATTTTTATGTATCACAAAACTTTATAGGAACTTATGTTTGAGACCCTCAACGTTAAAAAAGTAAAAAAAATTTGATTTTTTTCAAGTCGCACAGTAGAATATCCCTTTAAAAGTCTTGTATTGTTTAGCGACAATCAAATACAGCGCTATGCGCGTTAACAATAGTATAAACTTTACTAAATTAATTTGCATAGTCGAACGTCACTATCGCCATATAAATATTCGCACAATGTTAGCGCCAAAAGCGAAATTCATCTGTACACGCGTTATGTTTCTATATACTAACTTATCGGAGTGCAAACTCTCGTAAGAAAACATCGCTATAATTGAAGCGGCGGTGTGATTGGAGAGCGAAAAGATTGTTCTGAGATAATAATTAGAAGTTTGGTATTTTTATCATGTGACAGTGCCATGGCAGAACAAGTGAATATCAAAGATACAGCTCGATATAACCATTCACGATCTCTGCGAATATGTGATGCTAATAAATCAGAAAATTAGGGATCATTATTCTTAAGTCTTTCGGGAACAATTAAATAATTAAATAATAACAGAAATAATCTTGGAGGAGGCTCAATTTGTGTGGAATCAACATGTGTGACTGTCCACAAGAGCAAGGAAATAAAATTGTCGGAAAAATTGACCTTTCGTCGGAAACCATAATTATTTTCTCGAAATGCCCGACACTGTATCGTCCTGAAGAGGACATCCTTGAACAACGCACGGTTTCCACCAGCATTAATTTGATACCGATCGATTTCGTGAAACCTGATAGCAGTGACACGTCATGCGACTGCGTAAGATCATCGACAAGCACGGAATCCTCCAGCGAATCGAGCAGAGTGGTACGTTGTCGGCTTGAAATGTATGCAATAAATAAAATGTGACAGCTACAACATTTATTTTTGTCGAAAGTAAATTAACAATATTCGTAAATATCGTAGTATAAATTTGTTTATCCGAGGGAATGCGAATATTTCGGCGAAATCGAAAAAGAGGAAGATGTCAAATTGCCACCAGTTTGCTTCGAGGCCGAGCGAGTTGAGGAGATCGCTGAGAAAGAATTGGACGTTGAATGCACCTTGGCTATAATAAAGCCGGAAGCGATGATCTACAGAAAAGAGATCGAGCGGCAAATATATACGGAAGGATTCGAGATTTGTCAAACTCGCTGGCTCCAGCTCACACCCGAACAGGCTTCGGAATTCTACAGCGATCATTACGGTGAACTGAGTTTCCCTCATCTAGTGGCATACATGTCCTCGGAACCTATCATAATATTCGTGTTAGCGAAGCAAAACGCTGTAGAAGATTGGAAGAAAATCATAGGACCGAGCACGGTACTTTAGAGTGTGTAAAAAAATATACTAATATTTTAAGAATAAGCTTTTGATTATAATTTTGAAATTATTTCAGGTGCTTGAAGCGCGTTTGTATTTTCCCGATAGCATCAGAGCGAAATACGGTCGCAAAGGAGAAAGCTTTAAGAACGCTGTTCATGGCAGCAACAGTCGCGAACAAGCCGAGAAAGAGATTCATTTCTTCTTTCCTGATTGTAAATTACTTTGTATTTCTTTGTTGTCTTATTTGGAAATATTTAATTTTTTTTTAATACTTAATAGCATTATTTCGATGATAAATTGAAAAATTTCTTTTCTTTTCAGTCATTGTTGAACCTTTGTTAAGAAATGAAATGGCTGAAGATTTTTTATGGGAGACTATAAATCCCATTCTCGTCGAAGGTCTAACTTTGGTAAACTTTTATAAATAAAAATTATTTTTATAATGTAATCTGATATTTTTTCATTAACTTTCAAATAAATTTTGATTTACAGTGTTGTAAAACCAAGCCGGACGATCCTGTATTGTGGTTAGCGCATTGGTTGCTCTTGAATAATCCTAATAAGCCTAAATTACCGAAAGATCTCGCTTTAATTTCGACGTAATTCTTTTTCATCATCTCTCATCTTTCGTCGAACATACTTTAATACCGTCGTCTTACCCACTGGCTTTATTTTCTTCGATATTTCTTGTCGACATGATGGCATCCTATTTATTTTCCTTTCTGTCGCGGTTTGCGGATTGTACCTCGAAACATAAAATAGAATATTGCAAATTGTCATGTAAAATGTGAATGTAAATGTGTCGTGCAAAATAAAGCTTAAATTGCTGAGCCATCTTTCATTTGTATGCAATCTTTAAATAAATATTGCTTATAAAAATATTTTAAAAACATTTTTAATATTCTTTCCAGATTTTGAATATTAAATATTTGACTGACATTTATTTTAGCTTTTAATCGCAGAATAATTTATGGTAAAACAAAGTGCACTGTCAGCGCATTATTTCCAGCGTAATTACCTGGACTCCACCAAGTTTTTAACAATGTCGACAACCGCTGGCTTCTCTCCAACTATCCGAGCATCAGCATTGTTCCATTCACTATTCGCATTCGTCGTGTCCTCGTCGCTTTTCACATCATCCGTTTCTCGCGAACTTTTCTGCCTTTCCACAATCTCTCCGTTCGCGCGATTCTGTTTCGCGATCACCCGCCGCTCGGACTTGGAATTATCGTTCACGCTCTGACTCTTCGTCGACACTCGCGGCACACCGTTGATACTTTGCCCGTTTTCACATCGCACTCCATCCCGCTTCGACTGCGCCTTGCCGATCTCAAAACGCACTCGTACTGCACTGTCCGCATCGTTGAAACCGTCGCGACTAATTTCCTGCGAGCCGTTGATTAATCCATTGTCGACCTCGCCCGCTTCGACGTCGCGCCTTGCCTCGTCTGTTTTCTGCTTGCTATCTCGCAATCTTTCTTTGGACGGATTCGGCGACGAGGTGTCGTAAGTAGCGTTGATTGGTGATCTTATCATTGCAACATGAAACATTGGGATCATTGAGCAATTTATACGCGTGCAATTACAACGATTTATATTAGTCATTCATTTGCTACGTTTTTATCTCGCCTTTAACTGTCTCGAAGAGATCTGTCTGGCTAATAAATGTTAAGACACGTATTAAATGTTACAAAGAATTTATTCCGAAACTATAGATGTAAGTAAAGTCATACTGTTCACCAAATAAATTTATTATATATCCAAGACCGAACCTTTATATTAATTTTGAACGATCCTGAGTTTATTTCGATGTCAATTTTATTAGCAGAAAAATGAAGACCTACTTTTGCGGCGAATATCCAGGACTCAGCCAGGTCGAGTCGATCAACGCCGCTTCTTCAGACTTGTCGGAGCTGACGTGACCTGTAGAGCCGCTGCCGGGCTTGTACCAGGGTGATGGTATCCTGACGGGCCTGTTGAAGGTCGGCCACTCTTGGCTGGTCCCTTCGTCTCGATTTGAAGGCAGAGTGGACAAGGAGTGGCCTCGTCTTGCGGCGAGTCCGACCGGATTGACACTGGCCACCGTCACATGCCAAGGATCGACAATGGATAACAGCACTTTCTGCGTCGTACATGCAACAGAGACAGGATGATGATCGGAGAGATCTGAGCAGTGCGGGAGGAGAATGACGATCGCTGAAACCGTCTGTGGGAGTGGACTCGTTAAGTCTCGTTAAAGCTATACGCGGTGGACGCGCACCGTCTCTCTGCATTTCATTCTATCGAGATGAGGCAGTCTCCCAGCTATAAAAGCGCACTCGCTGAAAAAGATACGCGAAAGAACGTAAGAAGTTTGCAAAGTTTACCTCAGCGATCTTTCTGTATTAAAAAAATAATTCTTACTACAATAATTATTTTAGTCGAGAGTTTCAGTTAAGAATATATTGAGACAAAAAGGCAAGATTAAGCATAATAATAGCGAAATAGAGCAAATGATATTTTTAATAGCTGTAACTTCGAATCCTAATGATGGCACGTGCTCGTCCAATAATACTGTAATAGCGCATCGGCCTTTTACAACGGAACGTGAATCATTCGCAGGGAACATAATTTTGCTCTTCAACAAGTACTTTAAGGCCTCTAGTCATATGCATTTCAAGCGAATGGTCTAGACAGATGAATCACGTGAAACGATTTGACAGTTCGATTTGTTTCTGCTAACTCCATTACGCAATGCAAATGATGCATGATCCGTAACTAGTGATTGTTATGTCACGAATAATAAAGAGCCGCTCGAAGCATAAAATATTTGTCCATCAAGCGGCATAGAAGAACTCTTGCAGCGTTCGTCTATATTAATGCAAATTTATGCATACATGAATATTCGTAATTTCTTATGAATTTATGCGTAAAACTATTATTTTTCAAATATAGACATAAACCTAACAAGAAACTAATGCAATTTCAATTGCAAGTAAAAGAACAGTACGTTCTTCGATATATAATGCATTTTCCTCGATAATTGGAATTTTTAACGATACGCACAACGTTTTTCCTTGTTACCTATTTTAGAACAAAAATAAAAAACCGTTGATGATCTCAGTAAAGCATTGGAAGGAGGAATTGTGAGATTTCTTAAGAATTTAGGTTAATGTGTGCTCAGATAACGTGGAGTTAAGGAGGCTTTGTAAATAGTAAAAATATGACGTGTATGAATGATAGAATGTATATTAAAACGTTCTTGTTTTTTTACGTTTTACTTTGTAACAAGAAAGTAACATTTCTTTACTGGCATTTCTTACACGCAAAATGTTCTTAAATGTAAGAAATTTAAATCGTGAAATTAAATATTTTTATTGCGTTTATTAGAAATAAACGCAGTAATAAACTTCTCAGACATCTAAAAGACATGCGTGCTGTCTGGGTTGTTATAAAGTTTTACTTTTTTTACTGATATTGATATTTTTTGTATTTTAAACATAGAAATGAAGAATATTATAATTAATTTTAAATATAAAATTTTTAGATACCTTAAGTATTAACTTATAACTTACCTTATTAAGTTAATTATTTTATCCGCTTAGAGTTAAAATTAGACAGGTCATTATAATTACTAATTGAAATTTTTCATGTTGTATTACTGTTAATAAATAGATTTGCAGTTTAATTAAAGCTAGAATGTTAAAGTAATTTAACATTGTTGATTGTCGATTTTCTTCAGCTGTTATCTTGACAAACATCATCGATAAGATGGCTGTTTTTAAACTAAAAAAGAATTTAATCTTTTATACGCACGCCGCATTTACTAAAACTGTAAACAAAATTCGATTCAAAATTTTTAATACTTTATAAATTTTTAAAATATTGTAGTGAATACAGTTAATTATTCGTTAAACAGATGATTTATTGTGCAGGAAAGTCATTAATGTTGTAATGACAAACATAAATTGTCTCATAATTTAACGGAACCCACCAGATTTTAAGAGAACTTGCTTTTATACAAAAAATAATTATATAGATTTTATTAATAATGTAAAAGAAAAGGCATAAAAATATTCTACAATTTTGTGTTAAATAAGAAATTATTAGAATTTTAATCTTTAAAGTGTTAATTTGACGGAATTCAATTTACACGCAATTCGATTTAAACGGCTACCTTTTCACCACCTATCTTCTTCTTCTTTTTTTGAATACGATCCATTTTTTTTTTAGAATACAACTCCTTTAAGTTATTCTTAGCGTTACACAAGTCGGTAATTAAATTAAATTCGCGATCACCAACAATCAGTCTCCGGAGTGTTCCACCTTCTGGGACAGGTAGTCTTAAACTGATCTACCGCTCTGTATATCGGCAGCCACTTAGCGATATCTTCTTAGACCGTGTCTTGTATGTATCAGTATCGCGACCGCGTGCACACGTAAACCTGCATTACAGATACATTTTATGTAGAATGACTTTGTGTGCACTCACACTGTGATAATCTCGTACAATCGCGTGTACTCGACCCACTTCGAGTTTGTTTGTGTTTATATAGTTTACGACGGAAGACTTTAATCTGAGATAATAGTGCAATTTTTTATAATGAGCAATCGTTATAATAGGTATGCAATCGTGCATTAATCTCTTTTGCTAGGTGCTACTGGTACAATCCACTTAAATATGTTCAGCATAAATTCTTTCATTCTTTGGCAAGATATTTGCGAGCTGATATAAACTTTTTTTGTACATTTGTTTTTAAGATCTAAGATTGATGAATTTTTATCAATTTTTATCTATTTTATCAAAAATTTTCCAGATTTTACAAGGATTCTCTTTTTCACAAACTGAGAAATACAGAACAAGGAAAAACTAATTGCATTATTCCAGAATTGTTTGTCTGAGCGCGTTGCGTCACGATACGTTTAGATTATCGCGTTATATAATAATGATTGTATTATTATAGAGACAATGTCGATATAAAAAACTACAATTTTTTTCATATATTCGCTGCTAGTATTACAAATTGTCTACTGCGATTTAAGATATTTTTTGCAAGATGTAACACATAATTATAATTAAAAAATGGAACATATTTTTTTATTAAAAAGAAAAACAGGCGAAATAATTTTATTTCTTCTATTTTATTTATTAGGCGTAAATTTATTTATTAATATAAATCTTCTATTGTTTAATTAAACTTACCCAAGTTGCTGCAATGGCATCCAAGAAGAATCTGATAAAATCTTCAAACACACAGATCAGAAAAAAATGAATAAAAACTGAATACGCAATTTAAGCTTATTTATAGCAGTGCACTTTGCTTCTGCATTTTTAAACGTACATACAAAAAGATAAATGGTACCATTTTTAGATGCAAATTTTTTTTCAAAGATTCGCAAAGCGTATCACCGACAAATCTATTTTGCATGTCAGGTTTAATTTTGACTTCTAGATGCAAGCAATGTGATAGTGACTTTATCTACCTGCCTAATTTTTTCCAAGATATTGTAAATGTACATACTTGTCGAGGTTCGTTACGAGGAAATGTTAAATGTAGAATCTTTTCTTGCGTTTTTGTTTCTTCTTCATATTTATTGATTTGATTACTGAGAAACACATTTCACGAGAGAAAAACAAATCAATTTGTGTTACATTTTTTTCTTAAAAAATAAAAAACAATTTTTGACATATACCTATTAAATCTGTGATGAAAAAATAATCCAATAATAAATATTGCAAGATAAAATTAATGTCATAAAATTGTACAAAATATCATTAATCCAACTACTCTCAGATCTTCCGTATCAGAATTGTCTCGAATTCAATTTAGATGCATTTACTGCGATTACATTTCATACAATTTTTCTCAAAAAATATTTACTACCAAAATCAGCTGTACGACATAATTTCTTCATAAATATTATTGCCATTTTCTTAGCACGCAGTTGTTTCGATGACAGGCTTTTCGACGAGACTTCTTCGTATCACAATCCAAAAATTAATTATAATTTTTATTCGATTAATGAAATATCTTACTCTACAAAAAAAAATAGAAAATACTTTTTAGACGCTCAAAATCGCAACTTTTGAACTACTGAAACTCGGCTAAAAGTCATCGCAAAACAAAAATTAAAAAAGCAATTTAAAACTTGAAGTACTTTTATGTGCTCGTTTTTAAAAAAATTTTTACTTTACACTTTTAAACCCATGAAAGAAACATAGTGTTTCGTTCTTAAACAACATTTTTTACTCGTTATAAATTTTTTTATCGAATTGCAAAGTGCTGAACGTACGTAATTCTAAGAATAAAATAATATGTTCTTTTTTTAGACTTAAAAGTGTAAAGATAGATTTCAAAAAATGGTCTAAAACACGTGAAAGTACAAACATCAAGCTTTGAAATAATTTTTCAATTTTTTGTCTGCGATGATTTTTCGTCGAGTTTCAAAATAGTTTGTAAATTGCTCGATTTTAAGTCTAAAAAGTGTTTCCCATTTTTCGTGGAATAATGTAGCACACCACGGAAGGTCTCATGTATACTTTGAATTTTTTTGCTGGCGGTAATATAATACAATCAATGAGACCTTCGGGTTTCTCGCATTTCAATATCGATTGTACGAACAAATTATTACACATTATTCAACAAAACTATATTGTTACTTCTCTCATTCTTGGTTCCTTAATGATATAAATATTAGATCATCCGAAGGTTCATTCGGTTTATTACCAATAACATTTTGCATGTGCATATTGCTAACTACAATTCACAGATCATTTTGCACAGATCTTTCTTTCTTTCTTTTTCTCTCGACGAAACAATGAAAACCGTTATTGTAATTGTCTCTCTCGCTCGATCGAATACCTAAGTGTACGCGCGAATGTGTATCGGTCGATGGATCTTGTATATAATCATTCTGATACTTGCGTATTCGATTATATAATTGTATACTATATTACGCTATATATTTCTATTACCATTAACAATATCATAACTATGCTCTCTCGCGAGCATATATATATTTATTTATATATATATCATCTATATATGTATAATTTCTCACATTACTCGATTTTCTTATGCTATCACACGCATCACCCATTCATCGCACACGCACAATACGCCATGAATAAAGTTTAAAAACGTTAACGATAATAATATATCTATCTTTCTATTTATTATCTGCTGAGACTGCTCGCAGTTAAGTAAGCGACATGTTTAGAACGAGTGAATTTAAGCATTGCGAGGAGGCAGAGTAATAGATAGGAATGAAAGGAGAAAAACCGAACTTTATACCGTAAGCATGTGCAAGAGAAGACTCGCTCCAAATATTCGCTTTCTACTGTGAATCTACGCCGAACGGATCGCGACGTTTCGCAGAATCTGTTGGCACGCCGCACGCAGAATAGTGTGTCGCTAATATTATCTTTATGTGTTTCTTACTTGCTGTTATTATCAGTATCTGCTTTAATATTATTATAATGAGTATTATTTCCTTCGCATAATAGAAGAGGAAACTGTTACTTCGTACCATGCAACCTTATTACATTATTGTTCCGAGTCTTTATGATTTTCCTCCTACTAAATCCGGTTATACGCTATATATATATATATATATATATATATATATATATATATATATATATATATATATATATAGTAGTAGTAC